AGAGAGAGAGAGAGAGAGAGAGAGCGTGTGTGAATGTGTGTGTTTGTGTGTGTGTATGTGTGTGTGTGTGTTTTGGGGAGGGGGGAAGGGGTATGGGGAGATCATACCCAAGACGAAAATCACTGCGTTAGGCCTAGTACAAGACAGTAAAAAGGCGTTCTGTTGGTATTTTGCTTGACAAGAGTTTGCTGACAAAACGCCTTTTTTCCGAAGCCGTGGCGAGAAAAAAGGTGTTCTGTCAGCGAACTCTTAAAAAAAAGGTATTTCGTCAGCATGACCATTTTAAAAAGGCGTTCTTCCGAATTTTGTATGTTAATTTATTCAAAAACTAGTCCCAGTTTCACTTTGATTTTTTCACACAAAAAGGGTAATATATCAAACTATCGATTTAGTAAATAAAAAATGTTCGCGTCAAAATGAAAAAAAGGCGTTTTGTCTGCTTACGGCAGTCTAGTGGTCAGTCTTTTGGGTTCTCAACTGCAAGGTCATTGATTCGAATCCCATCATAGGCCCAACATTGTGTCCTTCTGGAAAGCACATTACTCAAATGAACTTTCCTCACTTCACCCTAGGGAATGGGTACATGTACCCGCCTACAAACAGCGAAAAATCTTGTCAGTATGTAGGTGTTTTAACACGAGCAATTAACAGCATGCACTGTATGCTTCAAGGGAAGCTAAGGATATTTCTGGGTGTTATACGGTCAACTGGAGTAATAAACAGTTGTAATGTGCATAGAGCATGCTGCAGAGAGTTGAAATTTGATCATACCTATAGATATAAATGCAATTATCATTATAATCATTAGTAGTAGTATTATCATTATTAATACTATCATTATTATTATTATTTGTTAATATTAAAACACTGTTCAGTTATTTTTCTCTGGAAAGTAAAATGAGTAGCCGGGGGAAAAAAACAATGATGTTAACCTGTTTTGCTATGACTTAATGTTATGCAAAGAGGAGAAAATGAATATATTGATTTTCTTTAATAGAATATTAGACTTTCAGTTAGTAAAAATGTCAGCACTCACTCAAAATCTCAATCTGTGTCAGTTTTAGCATCTCCTGTGGTAGGTCAGATAGTTTGTTGTTGCTGAGACCGATGACCTTGAGTTTGGTCATGTTCTCAATGTCACTGATGACTTCGGTGAGGCTGTTGCCACACATTGACAATTCCACCAACTCCTGGAGCCAGAATACCTAGTTGAAAAGACACAGGCGTAAAGGAAAATTATTTATTGAATGCCTGCACAGTAACCTTTACAATCAACCAGCAATGAAGACCACAGCTCTGGTTAACAGTGGTTTACTTAGAAGCCTGGTAACTTTCTGGTTAAACTGATTTTTCAAACTCTCGCACAAATATCTCCCCCTCCCCCCCCCCTAAAAAAATCATCCCCCTTCCTCTTAATTTTATCCTGAAAGATCATAGCATAAAAGTCATTAAGTTTAAGCCTGTCTCAGGAATGTAAAAGATATATTAAAGTATAGAGTGCAGTGAAGTAAACACCTGAAAATTCTAAACATCATACCTGGATGGGGATGAATTCAAACTGGTTGTCATCCAGGAGCAGCTGTTGCAAACCTGTCATACTTTCAATTTCATGAGGCAGGTTAGTCATCTTGTTTCCAGACAAGCCAAGCCGCCGCAAGCTCTCAATCTGGCACACTACAGGGTTTAAGAACTCGAGCAGGTTTCTCTCTAACCCTAAAATCTGAAAACATAAAAATACGCTTTGTGGATATCTTTTTTCTGACTCCTTACTCTACCTGAAGTTTAACATATCTTCTGTCGTTTTCTCTTTAGTCTTAATCCCCCCCCCCCCCTAATTCTAATATCATCAAAATTTTCTGCTAGACAATTTTGGGGTCTTTGTTTGATGATAAAAAAATCGACCAGTAATTTTTTCTTCACCCACTCAAAACCTTATGTGTGAAATATACTTTATGAGCATTTCTAGATCTACCACTTCATCCCTAGAGTGACAGAGCTATTCATTGATATACTTTCAATCAAAACAAGACCTATCTTCATGGTTTACACAAAGAAATACCTCAGCCAATTGATCTTTTCTATGCAAAAGGCTTTAAATGATTTTAAATGTTCTTTTAAAAATAAATTCATATCTACAGTCGTCAGGACTGTTTTCTTTTAGTGATGCTCAGAGGGCGATAGTCACAATAACTGATCATAATTCAAATGATCCAATAATATGTCCATCCATTGTCGAGGAGAAAAGTGGTTGTCTAAGGCTTGTCACCGTCTTCGACAGTGTAGAGGGAGAAATGGGAAATGGTCATTTGGACAGGTGATTGTCTATGACAGGAAGCCGTTAGAGCAGGTTTAAATGTCTTTTTAGGGACTAATACCCTCTGTTCTAAAGAAAGCTCAAAAATGATTCCAGTCAGCTGTCATTAGTTACTGTACCTGCAGTTCTTTTAGATTGGAAAAACTATCCGGTAGTGATGTCAAAAGGTTGTCATTCAGGCCCAATACACGAAGCTGCGTCATATCGCCAACTGTTGTGGGCACTTGCTCTAGTCTGTTTCCATTTAGTAAAAGCTGAGTAAGTGACTTCAGGGTGGATATTTCAGAAGAAATGGTTGAGATCTCATTATTAGAGATGTCAAGAACCTGTGGACAAAAGTGCAGATGAAATAGAGAGTTTTAAAAAAGGCCTACTTTGCATTTTTATTACATTATTCATTTGCACATGCATTAGAGAAATATACATTTTCAAAGCAATGTACGACTTAAATGTTTCTTACTAAAATTCTTAAATGCCTTTACACTAACAAGGACTACTAAAAAAGATAACATTGACAGGGTTAAATCTTCTTTGTGAGATGCCAGGTGACATAATATTTTTGGGAGTATAGAGGCTGTGGTCTATATTTGGTTGTTTTTGGTTGTGGCAGGGGGTTAAGGCCTAGCCTATTGTAATGTTTGGCTGAAAGTGTGAGAGTGAGTAAAGTGTGAGTCTCTGTTCAGTTATTGTATTGTTTGCAACTTTATAAAAGCAGTCTGAGTTACTACTGGTGGGACTTTTAGAGGAGAGAGTTGTATCAAGGCAGAGGAGGCCGGCTGAGAGTATAGGTGGTGAAAAAGGCTAGTTAGAGCCTCGGTTCATTTGTGTGTAACGTGAAAGATTCCAACGCATCTGGGCCCCAAAGCTGCGGAAAGGATCACAGCACAGAGAGGAACAGGTTTGGCTAACTCCTGTTATAGTAGCATGCTGACAGAAGGTTAGTATTAGTAGTGTTAAACATTTGTTTTATGTTCCAAGTAACAACAGAGGCGCATAGATAATATATGAAAACCTCGAACCAAATTTTTTTTTCTAGGTATTTCTTCCTGCATCACAGATTGCCCCACAATGTATACAAACAATAGTAAGTGCCGAGTTCATGGCCAAGTGTACATCCTAAATAGTTCAGATATTATTCTTCGCATTATGCATAAAAGTTATAAATCCACTGAAGACACCTCTATATACTTATAACAAAACTTTGTATTCATTCCTATAAATTATGTTTTTTGTGGTACCTAAAAAAATGTACATGTAGGCCTACCTGTAATTTTGGCAGTTGAAAAATATGCCTGTTCACCACATGTATATTGTTTCCTGTTAATACCAATGCCTCCAAGTTTTCTAGAAGTGTCAGATCATCTGGAAGCCGATCAATGTCATTGTTGAGGAGAAAAAGACACGACAGCTCTCGGATGTCAAATATAGAAGTGGGAATTTCTCTGTATCCTTTGTTGTTCAGTTCAAGGCAAACCTGAAAATAAAAGTTCATTAGCACTTTACTGAATTTTTTAAAATAGCTTAAATAAATGTTCACAAGGGCATGGACTTGCATTATTGTTGACAAACAGGGGATCTCAAGTAAAACAGAATAATAAGAGTCGTAGTTGATTTGATTGAGAAAAAAAGTCAGAACATCAAGTTGTCACTGATTTAAACTCATTTGAGACTGTTCTGGCCATATATATATGGTTGGCAGCTCCCACTGTTGTACACATCCCAATAGCTTATTAGCAGTGGCCACACCTGATTAGCAATAATGTTCACAATTTTTTTTAGATAGTTCAAAGCAAATGAAATTTTAAAGAGTCAAGTTAATACAAAACAAAATGTATTCATTTCTACACGTACTGCAGTCACCATGCATCTATTAGCTGTGCATTCTGGTAGAGCTAGAAATACAGATTTTATAAAGGTATAAAATTGTTCCAATTTACCACTTTCATATTACATTAGAGAAATACAGTTTGGCGCTAGACATTTACTCTTTGGATTGATATCTATTTAGACAAGGTTTACCCCCGTTGCTTACCAAACCCTATTAACAAGACAGAAAATAACAACGGAGTGTATACAGACCCGGTAACCGGGAACAAAGTCACGAAGTATACAGACCTGGTAGGGGAAATCTTTTGTGATTCAAAAACTTTCAGTGCCCTCTTGGCTCAGGGTAGACTTAGGTTCTTCTAAATCTAAGGTCTAGTTCTAGATCTAGACAGACAGAAATTAATCATATCTAGTTTTGAGGCCTAAATCTAGATCTAAATGAAGATTGCGGATGTCTTTTCGATGATTGATCGTTTTTCCTCTGTTTTAGAGTAGGAGGAATCACAAGACAATTTTTAAAAAGAATAATGTCACAATTTCAATCCAGCAGTCACCCTCTCTATTTCTCTGCCTCTCTATCCCCTCTTTTTCAGCCTGCCTCTCTCTCACTCTCTCTCTCTCTCTCTCTCTTCTTTGTGTATCGCTCGTCCTCTCATTGTCTTTGTTTATTTCTGTCTTTCTTCCCCCATCCCACCTACTTTCCCACTTTATCTTTCTCTCGTTCCCTCCTGTCAACTAGAGAAATGTGATATTTGCTAGCATTTCCCCCTGTTCTCTACCCCTCTCTCTCTCTCTCTCTCTCTCTCTCTCTCTCTCTCTCTCTCTACTAGTCATGTATCCCTGTTGGTTATCAATCTGTCATCCCCTCTCTCTATACTATTATACTCTTTGCCCCCGCTCTCCTCCCCCTCTCTGTCTCCATCTATCT